AAATTCACACTTTTTCATATTTAAAAAATTTGAAATTAAAAAAAAATCAGATAATGGATCCTATTTTTATGGAACACAACTACCCATTATCTTTTTTAATTCTAAAATAAATTATTATTATTATTATTATTTTAAATGGCCTTTAGCAGGCGCTGAAGCGCGTGCAGAAGGCTAGTATATACTAAGTACTAGTAATTAATTAATAGTTAATTAATGGTTAAAAATTTGACCAAAGATCCCTTGCAAAAGAAGAGAGTGACAGTGACCAATAGGGTACTACTTTGGATGTCTTCTTACAACCCTTCAATTGGTCGAGAGCTTAGAAAAATTTAGGAATGCTTAGAGAAATGGAAAGAGCACATAATCAAATTTCTTTTTTACTCTTGAATAAACATTACTTTTAAATGATGTTGCAAGTGTGTGCCTTTTATAGTGAGTCTAGAGGAGTTGTATCCTTAAAACTTGACCCTTTGGCTTAGGAGAAGTGAGGTGCATGAGGTTGTTTAATCTTAAGATTGTTCAAAATTCAACCAAACAGAATAAATAGACCAATCTAATCCGATTTAAAGTTTTATTCAATTCGAAAGAAGGGTGTGGAATATGAAAAATTGACTTAATTGGATTAGATATCGATTTTTAAAATGTCATTTTGGAGAAGATGAATTTGTCTGAAATTTAGGTATGTAGCAATTTCTTCCCCAATTATACAAGCAAATTACCGAAAGAAATAGAGACATAGTCACCAAATAATTTTTTTTTAAAAGTTGAGACACCATGTAGCCTATAAATGAATGTGAGTCGGTCATATTTGGCATACTACTTAATGTTATTCCCGAGGACCTTAGACAAAGTCATAGTTTGTGAATTCTTTTAGTATTAAAAAAAGCTTCACGAAAGCTTCAATTTTCCAAAACCATGTACTGAAATTTCTCCATTTTCCATCAACAATAAGTCCTTCTGTGGTTAGGGTTCCGTAGAATATAGAGATTAGTCCCCAAAATTTCAACCTTGGTAACATTTTATTTTGTGCAATGTGACTCTTGGTCCATCACATTTTTATGTATTTTAATTGATGTTCATATTATTATGGACGGTCGCTAAGTCATAGCTAGGGCAATAAAATTCACAATGTTGTATCTTAGAATGGTCCCATGTTGCAAGGTAAGGAGAATTAAGTTAAAGCTATCTAAAGTCTAAACTTTATAGATATTTAGTCATATACCTATTCTTAGCACTAAAACTATAAATAAACCCTACACCATTTAATTTTATAAACATACCAAAAAAAAAAAACCCAAAAAATGACAGCTGGATCTATTGAATTTAATTTTGACTATTAAATTACTTTGATGCCCTATTGAGTGTTTTGGGGTTGGGTTTGTTTTAAGAAATTAATAGTAATTTTGTAATTTAAAAAAGATTAAAAGCCTTTTTGTTATGTTGTAAATGAGTTTTTGGTGTGTTTTTAAAGTTCATTTTATATAGGGTTTTTTTATTTATTAATAATTTGACCTCCTATATTGGGTATAATAGTTAATCTCCCTAAACGTTTTTTCTTACCAGAAAAGGAGGACGTATAAATGACCTTTGGCCTTTCAGGAATGGCTTTTGTAATCGTGCCATAATTGGCTTCCTTTTGCTTTATTTAAAATTTATCGTCTTTTCCACTGAAGAAAGATAAGTGTCCGTTAGGAATTAAATTAAACATACGTACACGTCACATGGGTTTAGATTAATGCGTGGCAATAATCAAAACATTAATCTAAACTCAACCTTTGTTTAAGTGTTCCTGATCTCGCGGCATGGGGGGTATAATTGGAACACTATCAGATTCTAAAACATTTAACACACCTCGAGATTAAGGCTGAAAATTCATATATTAAAAAAATCCATGAACTTCATTATTGTCTAGAAAGTCAAAGTTGAAGGAAGAACCCACCAGCTTTACATCAGTCCAATACTTCGGCAAAGATGATCTGAGTTTTAGGCATCATATAAACTTGCCATGGTCACGCATGCAGGTTATATATCTGATAATGACACTTAGAATAGAAACCATGTGAAATTTAGTTTAAAATAAATCTGAATTTGGACGCATTTGCATTTGCATTATTGCCATAGTCTTCTGAGACCAACTTTATATATATATATATATATATATATATAATTTTATTTATTTTTATAGATACCTAAGAAAGCAAAGTTAAGGGTGTGTTTGACAAACAAGGCTCTCTGAGATTATTTTAATTAAGTAGACAATTAGAAAACAATAATATTTCATCGCTGACATTGATACGCTTATGATTCGAATATATTTGCCAAATTGCCAGTGTGAAGTCTTGTGGTAAAGTTAATTGTGGTCCATGGAAAATTGTATTCATGGCTTTATACAAGGAAAAAAAAGGGTCACATCGATTGAATTTCTTAATATTATTGTAAGTGGCATATTGAAAATGTTCTTGTGATCCATTGTCGTTGCACCTTCCTACCTAACATGCAAAAGTGCCTTGACCTCTGTCCCAAACCTAGATAGATCGAGTTTTATGCTTTCCTAATTACTTTTTTTCACGGAAAGTTTGGTTTAGGTCAATATTAGATCTATATCAAATTAATTTAACACATAATTAAGATGTCTGAGTTCAACAAGGTAATGTCAATAAATGCATCTTTTGCTCATGAATTTAACATTCTAAAGTCGTCGTAGGTGCTAAATTCATAAATACAGTTCACAACAGTAAGTCATTATTGCGTCAGATGTCGTGGTCTGAAAGAGACACGCTGTGACATTTGCCAGCCACATTTTTGTTTATTTGACTTTCGATATGTATGGTTTCAAATTGTCTATACTTCCCCCCTTATACTACCTAGTCATGCTACAAGTTAGCTTCACTTATTATTTTAAATATTATCTATACTGAATTAAATATATACTGCCGTCCAAACTAAATTAATGGGATAAAGGAAATTAATATTTCAATATTCATTAGGAAAACGTATATGTAATGAAGCAAGGACGAGCTAGACAGCAACAAGTAGATTGTTTTAGCTAAAAATAAATGGTAGAACATGGAATACGTATTATTTTTATATGCATGCACGCTTTAGATCCACTTTAGTTGTTATCTATCTTACCTAACAACACATGCATGCAACTCATAATCTCTTACTTATGAAGCAAATTTTCTAAGATTAGTGATTCTTTGGACAACGCCTAACTCCCAAAGTTTAGGTATTGGTTTAATATGTGATTATTTATAAGTATGCTAATTAATCATGATATTCCTATATTAAAGATATATTAATTTATCTATTGGATTTATCACTGCATAATTGATCCAGAAATAAAATAATATGATGTTCATACATTATAGTTGATTTTTTTTTTTAGTGGGAAAAAAAATCCAAACCTAATGTCAACTGGCATTTTCCGAATCATATTTTATTAGAAAACATACTTTAAATCATTTATATATGGCTTTTTTCAGACCCAATTATATCAAATGTGCATTTTAAATTGAGCATATTATCATTTAGATAATATATAATGATTGTTTTCATTAAAAATATCTGTTTGGTGGACACATCCACATAATTAGCGGCATACAAAATTTCAACATTGCTTGCGAAGGGAAGAATTATTAGACTAAAAGCTAATTGCCCTATCACATTATTTTAAATAACATATGAATGTTCTAACGCATTCCAAATATGAAAAATACTTGCAGCGCATAATGTCATTTACATTGTCTCCTGAGTACCCCTCCTTGGACCTCCTCATGTACGTATGTGTTAATTTTAACGTTGACGTTTATAAAACTCACAGCGCATCAACGATAAAAATCAACTCACGAACTTATGAAAGAAAATTTTCAAAAAAAAGCGAAAGAGAGAAGAAATAGAAAAACAATGGTCATGATCACTTACTGTCCGAGAAAGACTTTCATACAATGTGAATCAATAATGCAATAACATATGAAATAATAAGTTTTCCATATATTATCGTGTTATTGATTAGGATAGAAAAACAGTACCCACTGCAAGTAAGTTTTCCTGTCAAAGCACAAGTCTTGCTGACACTCACTCACTCAAATGAGAATGACAATGTCACGGGGCGCGTGACGGAAGACTTTTGTTCTAAAATCTGCATCGGGAAACGTTGGTTTGATTTAGGTGGGACCAGGTGCTTTGATCTCGTTCAAAATCGCACGCACCCATCATGATCTGGGATCGTTGGCTCAATCAATCAATTAACTTGATTTGATAGACGGCTGTTGATTAGGTCGTGTTGGCCCCATGGTTGTTGGAAAGGGTCAAAGGCCTTTGTTTGTTGCACGCTCTGGTTTGCGTTTGTGTTCACGTGCTTCACGAGGACGTCGGACTAGTCAAGGGCCTTGGGGCCTAGATCCAATGAAAGCTTGAGTTTCAAATACCCAAACTGAGCTTGGGCCAAAACTGTCCTACGAAAATTTTACTCCATATTTACATGATCATGTATATCCATGTATAAGTGCTCGGATATGTCGGGCTCGGTGCAAGTATGATTATACCGACCGATCCAATCCCATTCAAGAGGTTTTTGACATGACAAAGTAAATCGACTATAACATGAAGTTATAGGGTTTGGGTTGATTATTCTTTTACAGGAATACAAAATATTATAAGATCCGCGAATATGAATAATAAACATGTCGTATTAGGGTTCAAGCAATGTTAGAGGTAGGGGAATTCGAATACAAGACCTCGATTATAAGAATAATCGCTCTTAACCACTTGAGTTACAAACTCTTTTCTGCTATCGAATATGATATGAGGATACATGATTATATATGGAGCCGTGCCTCTCTCGATTGGACTTGGACGAGCATATTTTGGGGGTTCTAAAGTTAACTTGGGCCTTGCGTCGTGTTTTGGACCTTTAACATAATCAAATGGACCGTGATTTTTGCGTCGTAAAACAAAATTTACTATCCCCCAAAATCGCAAAATAATAACAGCTAAAAATGAAAACAACTAGAACCATCGGACGAAGCCTGAAATTCTGCAAAAGCCTGCTCACAAAACACAACATTATCACTGATTAGTGATGACTGAGGAGGCATGGCGGCCAACGTCTCTCACCTTCCCGCATTCCTCTCCCTCTTTTCTCAGAATCTCGTCTTCTCCGACCCCAAATACCACCCTAAGCAGCTGAGATGGGCCGCCCAACAACAACGCTTACCTCCACCACACTTCACTGTTCGTGCCTCTTCAGTGAAGAAGAAGACCAGGTTTTTACATCTTCCTTTACTCTTCGCTTTCATTTCTACTCTTCTTTCTTCTTATTCTTTTTCACTCTCATTTTAATTTTGCCTGGGAAATTTTTAGTCGAAAGGTGAAGAGCAATGAGGAGCTCTGCAATGAGCTCCGGGAGTTTCTTACTGCGGTTGGACTTCCAAAAGATCACGTGCCCTCCTTGAAAGACTTCTCGCAGCACGGAAGGTTCTTCCATTACTTTTTCTTATAATTTTTTGTTTTTGTTGTTGTATTTTTACTAGAATTTTATTCAATTTGCTTGATTAGGGTTTCTCTGTAAAATTCGACAGTTACTTTTCCGATAACTTTCTACAAAGTTTCACTTATCAATTTCTGATTGCTTGTTGCCATATTTTTCTTTTCTTCAAGAAATTTTGGCCTTAGCAGCAACGGGAAGTTTAAGTTTAATATTTATATGTGGTTTTGACTTGGAGACTGGAAAAATCAGAGCAAGTTTGACTGATCTGTTTTGTCCAAAATGGTTAATAGGAATGACCTTGCAAACATTGTCAGACGGAGAGGATATAAACTTATAAGAAAGCTTCTTGCGGACTCAACAAAAACAGATATAAATGGTAATGTGGATAATGGCGTGGCTGGAATACAGGATGCAACCAATGATCCTAAAGTAATAATAACAGGTCAATATATTGTTTCTTTTATTTGAGCGTGAAACGCGTTATTAATTTATTATGCAGTATATGCAACTGTTACTGATAGCCTCTTAAAAATTTAAAAGGTCAGGATCAAGAGATGAATGATGTCATTGAGGATTTCTCGTTGTTGAGTGAAGTTTCAACGTTGGAAATCAGTTCTGGTAGTTTGATTACCGATCCAGATCCAAACCATGATGACAGTGGTCATGCACCTGTGGAATCTTCAGTCGATTTGGATAATTTAGAAGGTCATAGTGAGCAGGTGAATAATGTGGATGGATATGTTTACGTGTCAACCAGTGTTCCAGTTATGGAAAATCATAGTAATATGCCTTTAGGAATTTCCTCCGATTCATCCTTGCCAGCCACTGTTCCTGTCAAAGAAAATGATTCTTTTGGTTCAGATGTTGGTTCGAATCTGAACTCTGGTGGACATCCTAGCATGCCTGTAGAATTTGTGGCTGGTTTGTCATCGGATGGAAAGGTCAGAGGTCAGGATGTGAAGCTTGATAATATGGCTGAAGAATATTCCTCGTTGACCGAAGTTTCAGTTGCAGAAGACCATTCTAGTTGTTCAAATATTGAACCAACTCACAACTGTGATCACCATAGTGATGCACCTTTAGAATCTCCAAGCAATTCGTCCTTGGATGAAAAGGTGGCAAAATTTATGCAGAATGGAGACCTGGATACAGTTGAAGGTAACTTACCTTAAGGGACCTTGTTTCAAAGTTAAACACATTTAATATTGTTCGGCAACATATGTCATTCTTTTTTTACTTCAGGTGCACTGTAAATGTATGCTTATCTTTCATACTGTTTGTTACTACACAAATGCTTAGCTTTCATGATGTCTTTTACCATACATGTATGCTTACTTTTCATTATGTCACCTTTATTTTTATTTTTTTGTTTCTTTGAAATTTATGAGCTGCTTGATGCCCAGATAAAATCTATGGCATATTAATTGGTAATGAGGCTGAAAATATCAATGAAGAGAGTAAATTTGGAAACACTGAAGAGGTTCAAATAAGAATTCCTGCTTCAGAGCACTCAAAATCTGCACTTGATGGAAGTGATGCAACTTTGGCATTGAATCAGAGGACATCAGCATCCAAGCAACTTTTGCCTTCTACGACAGTCGATGCCTCTCTTAGGTTGGTAGTTTGTACATCTGCTCAAAGTTTCCTGTTGTTTTCTCTACTGTTCAATTTTTCTTTCCATTATGCATGTTGTTACTATTTAACCTAATTCAATGATTTAAATCTCATTCGCGACAGTGCATTATTTCATTTTTCATTTCATAATTTAAACCATGATTCTAGTCATTCCTTTGCTATAAGTGGAAGTGGACATCAACATTGCAAGCTCTCTCTCTCTCTCCCTCTCTCTCTGTATGTACGTTTGTGGAGAGAGAGAGAGAGAGATGCATTTTATACCATTTTATTTGTTTTTCCCTTGTAATAATTACTTTGATAATCCATTTGCTTGGTGAAAAGGTAAAGAAGGGAGGATGTGGAGATCTATGATCATTTTTTTGTGATATTCCAAAGAGTTACATTGTCAGAATCACCTATTTTTATATTATGCTCTTATGGAACTGGAGCTCAAATTGTGATGCATGACTGGAAAATATCCTGCATAGTTTTCCACTATTGTAGGCTATTTCACTACTATGGTTTTCTGGTACATCAATGTAACTTTTTTAATATTTATAAAGTAGGGATGACAGTTCATCAGCTGAAGGGATAAGTTCTCTATCTGGAAAGGCTTCAGATGTTAAGGTCATTACTTATCCCAAAATTATGTTACTTCAAACATCAATCTTGATTGGTTTGTTTTGATGACAGTATTACTTGTGATTCTGTTTTACAGACAAGTGAACGGGAGGATCAACTTGATATTAGTAATCTCAAATTCATGCTGGTAATAGTATTTGTCTTAAAGTTCTGCTTATGCATGGACCTTTTTTTACGCGAACTGCTGATTATATTTTTGGTTATAATCTTTTTCTTAGCATCAGAAGGAGATGGAATTGTGTCGGTTGAAAGAACAGATTGAGAAGGAAAAGGTATATTAGCTATTTCTGAAGGCTCCTTTTAGTTTTTATGGCAAGACCTTGTGCAAGTATCTGCATAGAAATATGTATGTCAGTTTGCCTCTGTTTGCTTAAAAATTCTTTTCTGTCGGAAGTTCATAATTTTATGACCTATATGATAACTCATCTGATTTCTTATGCATTTTATTTTTTGCTTTAGCTTGCTTTGTCAAAGTTGCAAACCAATGCTGAAACAGCAATCAGCAAAGCGCAAAAGCTCGTCTCCGATAAAGATGCAGAGTTACTAGCTGCTGAAGAAAGCCTTTCAGGACTAGTGGAGGTATAACAACCACCATTTCTTTTGGATGTATTTTGTATAAATTAGCTATGCTATTAGAGCATCTTGGCTTTAAGTAGGATGTTCTGACCAATGAGGTCTATTAATCGTTCCCTGATTTTTCATTATTCATACTTACTTTCGCATGGCATAGTAATTTCCTTTGGAAAAAAGATATGATCACAGTTCCTTTCTGAGTTTTATCAATGTTTTGTGTACCCTTTAAAAGATTCCATGTATTGACAAAGCGAAACTAGTGACAGAATCTTTGGTTGTAATTAATATATGTCAACACCTGCTGACTCCAATTTCCTGATTTTATTAGGTTGAGATACAGTACCGTGGGGATGGTGAGATTGTGGAGGTGACTGGTAGCTTCAATGGTTGGCATCATCAGATTGAAATGGATCCACAACCATCATCTAGTATCATAGGCCCCACTGGATCAAGGTCTTAACAGTCTCTTTATTTTCAAAACTGTATATAATTTGGCATCAGAACTTTATTTTGTTTAGTTCTGTTGTGCCTAATTTACATTTATGTTTCCTGAAGAATCATCATAATCAGTTTGACATATAATTGTTGGTTATCGTCTCGCTATTCCTTCATTTAAAATTCTGAAGTTGTCATGTTGTTTTATCTACTTGGCGCTAAAATAATTGTGGAAAAATGAGCTTACTGATCAATAGGATTACATGTTCTTCCAGGAAAACCAGACTTTGGTCAACAAGGCTATGGCTTTATCCAGGGATATATGAGGTATGCAGATCTAGCAGCTAAAAGATATGAACTTTTTTCTCTTTTGGCAAGGAGAATATATACTTGAATAACTGTGCCTAAATGTGACATGTTATTAACTGCAGATAAAATTCATTGTTGATGGCCAATGGAAGATTGATCCTCAAAGAGAGTCGGTTACCAGGGGTACCATATGCAACAACATTCTCCAAGTCGACAGATGAAGGATTTGGCAGGGGGGGCGACTACCTATCACTGGTACGTCTCACAAGAAACCAGTTTCCACATTAAAAATTAAATGCATGAAACCATGTAGTTTCACTTTTCCTGTGATGGAGATTCCTGCATTGGATCAACTGGTTCTTCTATTTGCAAGCCTTTGCTAATATTTAAATTGAAATTTCTCGCTTGATCAACTTAGCTGGTGCAAAATTATTGCTTGTGTTTGTTAACATCTTCCTGGTGCCCTAATTTTGACTTGTGTATGTTGAATGTGTTGCAGACAAGGAGCAAAAGTATCTACCAATTATTCGGCCTGTTGTTAGGTTATAGAGGCAAAATTGAAGTTGAAGCAGTCTGAGCCTATGCCATCGGGCCAAGAAAGTGAATTGAAGACCACGTACACGCAGGAGACGAGGCAGGCAAAATCAAGAGTCCATTCCGCACATTGTATATATCTGCTACTCACCACAGCTCTTTTTTCCTAATAATAATATTTTTTTCGGAGGATTTTCCTAATAATATTAGTTGGCTAAAATCCAGCATTCATGGTTGGTTGCAATAACTATCGCCCCGGTTAAAAATTGAGATGAAACAATAGTTGAGATGTAAATATTTAAAATTGTTTACGTTGTTGCATGAATGGCTACTTCACGCCCGTCTGTACATAGAATAAAATTTGAAGTGTAATCAGTTCAGTTGTATATAAATAGACAATTGTTCTTACTGTTTAGTAAATTAGGTTCATGTACAGAAGTTCGTCTACGATATATTCACGTACTTAATACGAGCATATGAAAATACCATATTTATTGGGTATACCGTATATCACAGCTAATTAAGTGATACATTTGACTTATTAAATGAATGTACCTTAAAATACAGTATTTCATGTCTTCCTAGTGAATACATGAAACAGTCTGCTGACTGTTAAGTGCTGAGCCTGAGAGCATTGTGAATATGCTGTAGCATGCGGCCTCCCCATCACAGAACCAGTCAATGGAAAGTACCGAAAGAGATTAGTTTTTTTTTTTCAGAAAAGAGAGAGATTGGTTTTGTGCCTCGTAGGCGTTCGTGTTGAAACCACGTGGAAAGGTCATTACCATACCAAATCATTTAACTTTTGTGTGTGCAAGTCGTGTCTCTTTCTGCCTCTCTGCCTCTTTCTATCTTCTTCACCTTAAAATTCCTTTGGTGGCTTCTTCTATCTTCTCTCACTCTCTCACTTTCTCACTTTCTCACTCTCTGTAAATCAAACCCAGTCTACTCTGATATCTATCAAATGGCTATTGTTACTGCTTCTGCTCGTCTTTCTCTGAATCTCTCTTCCCCTCTGCTGCGTGCCCCTGTAGGTTCCTCCAAATGCTTCCCTATGGAAATGTCGCCTGCAATATCATCAGCAAATAAAAGAAGAGCTCTCCCATGTCCTCTAGTGATCAAGAACACCAGAATTTCTAGTGTAGATGTTGTTGATGAGGCTGACCAGCAAAAAGAATTAGGGATGGAGAAGAAGCCCAACGAGACCCTTTTGTATTCTCTCAGTCCTTTGCCTCTGCTGCTTGTGGCTGCTCTTCCTGGAGGTATGTACATTTTTGTTTAGCAATTGAGCCTTTCAAATGTATTCAATGTTTCTCTCACTTGAATTTGTTGTTGGGTTCAGAGATATTGAGATTTAATAAAAGAGTGACAGTTTAGCAAGCTGAACTCAAGGATATATAGCACATCTTGCAATCTTCATTTTCTAAATTCTTGTGATATTTTGGATATTTAGTAGATTTATATACTTCCCATGCCTAGTTTTTCTGAGTTGCTGAAAATTTTCTCCTTCTAAAGTATAAACAGTCCTTCCATCACATCACAGATCACAGCAGCTAAATCATATCACAAACTAGTAATGTCACTGATTTTGTACTCATAATGTACCTGAAAATTTTGATGATAGCTGGAGCTGTGACATCTCTGTTCGAGCCTTTCGTTGAGCTCGTCAAATCATTTGGTCTTCCTGGCTGGCTTGTGCATTGGGGTCACCCAGGCAACATGGTATAATGATTTAACCCCTTCCTGTAAAAGAGTTCTTAATTACATCTCGTAGTTGTGTTTATCTAAAGCTGTCTATGATTTCTTTCATTTTGTAGGCTGTGGTGCTTTTTGCCATGGGAGGCTATGGAACATATCTTGGTTACCGGATACGGTATTCTGACGATGTGGTATGAAACCCGGCGCGGCATGTATTGTGATTCAAACAACAATGCCAGACATTTTAAGTAGTATCTTGATCAATGATCATGATATGTTACTGTTTCAGGAGGAGAAGGCCAATGCTAAAGACTTGCACCCTAAGCTTCTAGCTGGCATGTTTTTCTTTTTTGCTCTCGGAGCAACTGGTGGAGTAACTTCTCTTCTAACTTCAGACAAACCCATTTTTGAGAGGTACATTTAGAAAATTATGTTCTTTGAATTTCCCTTTTCTTTGGAATGAATATATATTATCTGTATCTGTGTTTGCAGCTCTCATGCTGTCACAGGGCTTATTGGCCTTGGCCTCTTGACCATACAAACCATTTTACCTACTTTGTTTGAGGTAAATCTAGAGAACCTTTCTTGCAATCTATTTCTTTTTTTGTTTATTCTGCAATGTTTCAAGAAACTCAGTCTTTTTTTCTTTCTTTTTTATTTACAGGGCAAACCTCAATTGAGAACTGTTCATGGGGTCCTGGGTACTGGGATCATGACATTGTTTGTTGTCCATGCTGCCCTTGGACTTCAACTTGGCCTAAGCTACTAGTATATGATTCTTTTCCATGCCTAGCTAGTTTGCTTTTATTTTCTAACTTCATTTTAGCTTAATTATTCATACCCTTTTCCACAATTGGTTTCAACTTTAAACTCTCAGGATCACCAATCTTATTGAGCAAAAAACACAGCAGCAGGGAGTAGGAACAAAAAAGGTAGGGAAAATGGTGTAATTCGACAGAAGAAGAAAAAGTAGAGGACATTATTTTGGAATTGCTAGTTGTCTTCTTGTTTATTTTTTATATTTTTATTTTTATTTTTATCAAAGGTAAGAACTTCATTGAACTTGCATCAACATATACAACGGAATCAATTGACGGACCGAAGATTAAGAATGACCTCATTAAAATCTTGCTTTAAAAAACCCCAAAAGGAGGAAAATAAAGTCGAGAAAAGAGTACCACAGCACCTCCAAAGAAAAAAAAAGAAAAAAAAAGCGAAAAGCAGTCAAGACTGCATCCTATCGCTCTCCCGTACTCGCTCCAGCCAAGTTGTCATGTTGTTTATGCAGCTCACAAGTGAGGCATGTTGCACCGATTCGCTCATTCTTGGTTAAAGGCCAAAGATTAACCACTAGTTATCACATCCGGCCTAATTTGTGAAGCATGTCATTAAGCATATGCCCACCTCTTGGGAATATTCAACACAGTATTCTGATTACACATATGATCGTGAAATTAGGAGTAGGCAATAGTCAATTCATAAGAAAAACAATAACACCAGGTGATAACACAGCATATAACATCATCTCATGAAATGAGTTGGCAAGATTTGATTTGTGGAGCCAAACTCCATGTGGCAAGTAAGTAGGGCCCAATACCACCATGCGGGAAAGTAAATTATGAGCCAATCCAAAACAAGCCAAATGGCGGAGAGAGAGAACGAGTCAGACGTAACTGGCGCCCCGCTGCATATCGATTCTTCACATCTGTATATAAAATCAAACTGCCCTTCACCCCATCTTCTCTTTCATTTTTTCACGTCTCTCATTCTTCCTCCTCCTCCTCCTCCTCCTCCTCCTCCTCCTCCTCTGTCGCTCTCAGGTTCGTTCTTGTTTTTTCTTGTCTCATTTCCTTTCGGCATCTAACTTGGTTTCGTTCAATGTCCATTGGATCTTGATCTCATATTTCTCAATTGCTTTAGACAATCTGGGGCTGATTGATATCTGCTTTTTTGTTAGCATGCCATCTGTCTGTTTAGATCCAATTCATTCATTGCGTTCTTTGGAATGTGTACGTAACGTTTTGATTTCTCTGTTTAATGCTTTGAGGATTTGGTGTTATGGTTTTGTAGCTGCATGATCTCTCATTTTCGTTGTTAGATCTCATCAAGAATTCTGCTGTTTAATTAGATCTTAGATTTATGGTCACAATTTTTTGGTTTGCCTTGTCTGTTGATAATTCTGTTCATCAATCTCTAGATTTTGTTGAAATCTAAATTCTCATATCATTAGTTAGATATTGTGCATGATTTAACAGGCAATGAGATTGAGTAATATGGGAATTGTTTATACATTACATGTGCTTCTCTGTTGCTGAGATTTCAATATTTTAATGTCAAATTGGAGAATTAACACATAATCTTTTCGTTTTTATCAGTTTAGAGATGGAAACCTTCCTCTTCACCTCTGAATCTGTCAATGAGGGTCACCCCGACAAGCTCTGTGACCAAGTCTCGGATGCCGTTCTCGACGCTTGCTTGGAACAAGACCCCGAGAGCAAAGTTGCCTGTGAGACGTGTACGAAAACCAACATGGTCATGGTCTTTGGTGAGATCACAACCCAGGCTAAGGTGGATTATGAGAAAATAGTTCGAGACACTTGCAGGGGAATTGGGTTTACATCAGCTGATGTGGGCCTTGATGCTGACAACTGCAAGGTCCTTGTCAACATTGAGAAGCAAAGCCCTGAAATTGCAGAGGGAGTTCATGGCCACCTCACCAAGAAGCCTGAGGAAATTGGAGCTGGTGACCAAGGCCACATGTTTGGTTACGCCACAGATGAAACACCTGAGCTTATGCCATTAACTCATGTCCTTGCCACCAAGATTGGTGCCAGGCTTACTGAGGTCAGAAAGAACAAAACAGTCCCGTGGCTTAGGCCTGATGGTAAGACCCAAGTGACTGTTGAGTACCGGAATGAGAACGGGGCCATGGTCCCGATTCGGGTGCACACCATCCTCATCTCAACCCAACACGATGAGACTGTCAAAAATGAGCAGATCGCTAGTGATTTGAAGGAACATGTGATCAAACCTGTCGTCCCAGCCCAATTCATTGATGACAAAACTATTTATCACCTCAATCCTTCGGGTAGATTTGTCATTGGAGGACCCCATGGAGATGCTGGGCTTACGGGCAGGAAGATTATCATTGACACCTATGGTGGTTGGGGTGCTCATGGTGGTGGTGCTTTCTCAGGGAAAGATCCAACCAAGGTGGACCGGAGTGGTGCATACATTGTAAGGCAGGCAGCAAAGAGTGTTGTCGCATCAGGGCTTGCTCGGCGCTGTATTGTGCAGGTTTCTTATGCGATTGGCGTCCCAGAACCCCTGTCAGTTTTTGTGGATACCTACAAAACTGGAAAAATTCCAGACAAGGAGATATTGGTTCTCATCAAGGAGAATTTTGACTTTAGGCCTGGAATGATTGCCAACAACCTTGATTTGAAAAGAGGAGGCAACTTCAGGTATCAAAAGACTGCTGCTTATGGTCATTTTGGCCGTGATGATCCAGATTTCACTTGGGAGACCGTAAAGATCCTCAAGCCAAAGGCCTGAGAAAGTGAGCTAGTTTTTGCAAATGGCTACCATTGTCGCCGCCATTATTCATCTTGCTAGAGAAGAATAAAGAAACTTCAATGCACACGTCTGATGTTGAGGTCTACATTTTCAAGGCTCAAATTAGAGTTGAGAGTAGGAGATGTGTGCTTTAAAGTTGAGATGTTAGCAAACTTAGGAGGAGCCTGTAGTATTTGTTGCATTGTCTTTTATCGTTCTGTCATTTTTCATGTTTCCATTTTTCTTTCTTTTCCCATTACCCAGCTACTTGATTGTTGAAGGTTCTGGCATTGGACTTGATTGACCAATTTGTGAAATTTATCAGATTGTCTTTTTATATCTCAACATTGAAGCTCATTGTGAACAATCAAAATCTAGTAATTGCATGATTGTAGGCTCATGGCAAGAAATTCAACAACTTAAGTAATAGCTTGGGTACAAATTATACAAAGCCATACAGATTTTGGGTGCAAACTATACCCACAGCCACAGCTGAATAATTGTATGAAACAAACAGTTCAGGAGTGCAACCACAACCGATCATGAAGCCGCTCTTCTCCAGCACCAAACATCTCATCCACCCGTTCACCCTCCCGGTAAAAATGGAAGGTCGGCGTGTACCGAATGTGCAGAGTAGTTTCAGGGCATTCATCAATGTCTGCATAGATGAAAGAGAGCTTTGGAAAACTATTACTCAGCTGGCAGAATGCAGGAAGGATTTGGCTACACACACGGCACCTGAAAATAAGACCAAAAATAAGCAATTCACTCAATTTGTCATTGAAGCTATACATCAAACACCTTGAGCTCAAAATGAATGTGCACAAAGTTGTAAAAAATAGCCGGAGAATGAGACATACCAAGATGCGCCATAGTTGATAACAGCCTGCAAGGAGTTGAAAAGATAAACAAAACCCAAAACGATTACAATCATAGACACAAAAAAGAACCCAGATAAGGGTTTAATGGGTTTCAACTTGCAAAGGAAATAGGAGCACAAAACAGAAAACTGAAATGTGGGTTATTGGTGATTTGAGTGCTTACAGGGGATTTGCAGGACTTGATTTGGAGAAGAAGGTCTTTGAGGTTTTGGTCGCTGGAAGCACTTTTTAGGTTTCCATGGCGATTCTCTGGTAATTCCAAGCCCGTGCCCGCTAATCCCTTCTTTGTGGTGTTGGCTTCGTCGCCACTCCAACCAGCCCCTCCTCCCTCCATTCCTCTCTCTCTCTCTCTCTCTCTCTCTCAAAGACCAAAAGGTTGTGGCTTTAAAAATTGATTTAACATTCGACATTTTAAGAGATGTCGTTTTGGAAGGGAATGTTTTAAACGACGAAAGGTCCTTCGACTCATTTCTTCCCTCCTATTTCTCCCCGTCATGGCTCATGTGGTCTCACATGGCCAAATGGCCATGGCATGAAGCCAACAACCAGCGTCATCTTGGATGCAACCATGGTTGATTTTGATTTTTGCAAGTTCAGAAATATAATGTTACTGACCATTTAGTCTAGCATCATCCAATTTTCATTTTGTTTAAGGAGGTCATGAATTCAAATTTCATAAACGAGAAAATGAATATTAACAAGAATGAAGGGGAATGTTGGAATTAAAAAGGGATTCGAGTGTCGACTGTGTCAATCCTAACCATATAATTATGTATGACAAAAATAAAAACCATATAATTATGTTAATTGTGATTTGACCTACCACATAACTTGTTTACTAATCATATCATGCTCTGATTCACTCACATTTCATAAACCAACAACTTAAGCCTAGAGCCTCCCTAATCTTCAATCTAAACAAATCACATTCTACAAAAGTTCATACATGTAACATGATAAATCAATTTAGAATCGCGTCAAGTAATGGTCAACCTTAATCCATCAGTTTTTCATTGGATTTGTGTTATTAATCAAGATAAAACTGAATAGTTTAAAAGAACCATCCAGTTTATCACATGGAATAGTATTGTGATGGTAGTGAACTGTGAGATTCCATCTAGTGCAAAGTACATTTGTATTTAACCTAATTGTTCATAACAACGTAATTCTTAACATTTCCCTCCAATTATAGGGGGCTTTGCCCAGTTTCTTTTCCTCATCTCTCTCCCCTTTCAAATTCCATTGCAATGATCTCCTTGTTCCATCCAACAAATACATGGGGAGGATTTCCTCTTGTTCCATCAACATTTTCATATAAGAGAGGCCGGTTCAAGTGTGGAATAACTCAGCAATTTGAAGCATGAGAAGACCACTTGAAAAAGCTGCCATTAACTGGAGTTGATTTCAACGAAAGCCCCCGGACAGAACTTCTTGTTCAATGCTTCTATGGCCGATTCAATTCGATCTTTGTCCTGCAACCAAAGTTCTCAAAGGGTTAAATTCAGTAGAACAACTTGCATAACTTAATTGCATATTTGGAACCTGGGAAATGTTCTTGTACCTTGCCCTTGAAATAAAGTATAAGAGGCTCCTTTCTGGATTTGCGATGACAACCTTGATATTTCACATGAAGATCAAAATTGGAATAAAATATTAGATATCACATTCTCCTAGGAATGTACAGTTTTCAAAAGGCACTTACCAATGTAAAGGTCTGGAAATTCAAGGCAAAGTTTTGACAGAGGTCGAGCAATTTCTACCTGCATTGATCAGGTGGCTCACTGTTTAATTGTGTGGTTCAGATTAACACTTAGCAAACAATATGGAGACTTCTGGAAAGAACATTACCCACCATATCAATGTGTGTGTGTGTGTACACACTCAAAATTTCAAGACTTAATATATCGACAATATCATGGAAGACAGAATTACATACATCTGTAAGATTTGTTGTCAAATGCTTAGATACAAATGATTGCATCATTAGTAGCACATCATCGGATCTCATTAGTTCAATTAGACAGTTCCACTCCTCATCCAGCTCCAAGGCATTTGTTGCCGTAAGGATTATTACATTTTTACACTTAATCTGCAAGAGACGATCATTAGATGCCATGCTATATAAGATTAGCACTTTATCCATTGAAAGATATCTATGCACAGAAATTGGCCAAGAGAAAGACATTTAAGCAGTTTTTGACAGTGGAAGCTTCAGTACAGTATCATAAATTCTAGCTGACCAGAGATACAAAAAACAAAACTACCATATGTGACCTTCCAAATACATACCAAAGGGACAATCAGCTTTTCATGATGCAACAACTCAGTAATACCTTCAGGCAACAGAGCCATCTGAGAAGGAAAAACAAACAAGAATAAGATTAAATTCATGCCGTGAAGACTCTGGCACAGTAAGATATGCAAAATAAAAAAATTCAAGGGAACACAGTACGCAGAAAGTAACCACCAGGAGACGATAAAAAAAAAAACACGACGAGACCATATGCTAACTGAGAAATTTCTCGACATCTAAGTACCTCATTCCGGTCACCAGTGCATTGATCACCTATAAGATGCCTCAGATATTCTTCAAATTCTTCATCAGGAGCCTAAATTAATGAAAATTGACCAACCTTGATCAGTTAGAGACTTTGAGGACAACTAAAATACTGGCACGAATTAGGACATCTCAATGATCTTCATATGAACACCATTTTACGAGTCCCTGAGGTTGCGGGGTTAATAGAGATTTTCCTTTTTCCCAGAATGAAAGACTAATAGATTCAATGAAATATCACTGTTTTGTGATTGAGAAAGTTCAATAAAAACAAACGTACCAGACGAACCCCAAAAGCCTTTGCAACACCTGCCGTAGTGACATCTGAGTGCAGTGGGCCTACCCCTCCATATATAAATACCTACAGTCATGAAAAGTAAAATTGTATAAAGAATAAGAACCAAGAAAGGCAAATCCCTCATTCATTTCATCACTAAGAAACCACCTAAATAACTCTCAAACAGATTGTAATGATTACCATATCATCAGTTGATTGTCGTCGCTCGACTTCTTCAGCCACAGAATCTATCTGTTGGTTGTCAAAAGAATGTCATAGAAGATGAAACAGTAAGGTGATGTGAGTAAATGCATGTTTTAAGTTCCATATGTAACTGCACATCCATCATTGCAGTGACATAAGTTTGCACATAGGTACATTGTAACTAGGCCAAATTGTGGTTTAACAAAATTTATTCTGCAACAGTAACTCACATCATTCCGAACAACAGCAGTTTGTGATACCAGCCAGCCAAAAGAATGGAGCTTTCTACACAATGAAGGCCCTATTTGATCCTCAACAGTGCCAAACCTGAGCTATCAAATAGATACAAAGAAAACAATAAACTTCAGTAATAAGTTATTACTAACAACACTGGGTTGAGAACTAAAAGGCTACGACATTTGAAGCTCATTTCATTCCACAACACTTACTTGTCCTTTATTTTTTGAAGTTACCTGATACTATGTCAGTTCCCTCCACTACTGACTGTT